GGATAAAGGGGAACTGCAAGTCCTTGATTGTCTTGTTAAGCGGAAAGGAAATGGATATTTAGGTGTAACCACTTTCAGGAAAACAATGCATTCGAACAACTTCAATGCATCACATCCATATAATGTGAAAGTTTCTATTGTCTCCAGTCTTTTAAGGAGAATACACACTCTAGTAACGGATGAAAATAAAGGAGTTAATGAATAAAAATATATGTGGACAAGATACTTAGAATGAATAATTATCCGGTAAAATTCATTCGAAAAGTAGAAAGTAACATTAAATTAGATCGTAAAATTACTCCAAAATCATGGGCCTTAACAACAATTGTCACACATAGGATGAGATTAGGAGAGTGCTCAACAAATACAATATCATCAGAGTGTTCTACAGAACATCAAACATACTGCAGAGCACCTCAGCTTATTCGAAGGACAAGATCCCTCTAGATTCACCATCTAATTGTGTTTATAAAATAAAATACTCAGACTATGATGTCAATATACATAGGACAAACTTCCCATGAAGTCGAAATTAGGTAAAAATGAACACTGAACAGCTCCCACCTGATCCTTTAGAAATCCAGTAGAACTGGAAACACATCAACCATACGTCTACATGTCATGATTTCAGATCACAAAGTCGACTTTGATTATATCGAAATTATTATTCAGAAATGTGGCTTTATAGATTATAAAGAATGTCTCATAATAGAACCTCTTCATATACAGAGTGGAATCATAATTGTCTAAATAGGAAGGAATAAGAGAGTAAAAGATAGTTAGTTTCACTTGGTGTCAACCCACTTCCACCTACTCACATAACCAACATATATCAAGGCGATATGAACTATCACCAGTACATGTATGTACATACAAATACCAATCTGTAATTCATACATAACACACTACAAGTGGACATCATCTTTAATCCACAATGCTGACGACGCAGAATCATTCATAGAGAAGAAGACTAGTCAAGTTATGATATACAAGCGTGGAGGATAATGTAAATTCGTGTTTACTATAACTTTGATAATGAATATCATTTATCCAGTACCTAAAGTTTTTCAAAGCATCAAATCCTAACTTGTATAGTAATGATGGGTAGTGGCTAGCAGTGGAATTCAGGATGCACATTTCGTCCTATTTGGGACTCGTCAGCTGATGCCAACAGAAACTGATCAATTCGGTCAAATCAACGACGGTGTAATACAAATAATAACACTAAATCCTAACTTTGTTTGTATATCTGAAAATGGATAATTACATTTCAGGCATTTCGAGAAATTCACTAAAGGAAATTAGTCCGTTTACTGTAAAACGTCAGCCATCATTTATTAGTGTTAAACAGATTTTCAGATTCAGATTTGTTGTTTGAGGGAAGAAGGCTGTTAGTCTATACCAATCCCTTTCCAGTAAATTTCTGTGCTTGTCCAAATCGCCCTTAGAACCGGTCACTTGATGATGTGAACATCACTTCTTCTGGGAGTCAATTCCAAGAGTTGATAACTAGACTCTGTTGAGACCATGTTCTCTTCTTCTTGCTTTTTTAGCCTCCTACTATGTTCTCTGAGGTGTTCCGATCTAATGGGAAGGAAAGGAGAAGATAGATCAGGTCCAAAGTCATTTCTTAGACACTTGTATAGAATGATTAAGTCTCCTCTCTGTCCACGATAGGATAAAGTGAAGAGGTTCAGCTCTTTAAGTCGATCTTCATAGATGAGGCCAGCAATCGCAAAGATCATACGATTTGCTGCCCTCTGAACTCTTTCTAGAAGGTCTGCATCACCTTACAGACAAGAATTAGCCACCTGTGTACAATTTTCTAAATTACACCTAACTATGGATGGATATAAGTTGCTGAACATATCTCCACTAATTTTTGTAAACATCCTACGTTCGATAAAAGATTCAGCCCATTTCAACTAGAAGAATAACCATCGACTGCATCAGATGTATCGCATACTTTAGAAAGGGTTCCATTCACTGTAAAGAAAAGAACAGAGCATAGAATGGCAGTCAACTCTCTACCTCAACTTCATCGACTTTGAGAAGGCCTTTGACAGCGTCAACCGAGAGGTAATTTGGAAACTGCTTCAATAATACGGAATACCGCAAACCTTTATCAGCCTCATTCAACAAATATATGAAGATGCCACATGCCAAGTAATTCACAATGGGAAGCTCAGTGATGCCTGTGAAGTGAAGACAGGAGTGAAACAAGGTTGCCTACTATCCCCCATGATATTCCTGATTGTGGTCGACTGGACTGGATCATACAGCAAACAGTGGGGAGCTAGAAGAGGGGGGTACACTGGACTGCCGAAAAGAACCTAGAAGACTTGGATTTCGCCGATGACTTGTGCCTGATGTCACGCAAACTTGAAGATCTACAGGCGAAAACTAACAAGTTGACAGAAGAGGCAGGGTAGCGAAAAAGGGACTTCAAGCGAATATAGAGAAGACAGAGGTGATGAAGATACTGCACCAACAACTCCAACAACAACAATAAACTCCGATCACTATCAACGGGAAAAACCTAAAGGAAGTAACCTCCTTCACCTATCTAGGAAGCACTGTTTCAACTACAGGCGGCACATACGAAGATGTCAAAGTCAGAATCGGAAAAGCAAGACAGGCGTTCATTAGCCTGAAACCAGTGTGGAAATCTGCTTCACTGCACTCAGCATGTGGAACAAGATACGGATTTTCAACACCAACGTCAAGTCAGTGCTTCTATGTGGTGGTTCAGAGACTTGGCGTGTTACGAAAGGGATTTCCAATAAACTACAGACATTCATCAACAACTGCTTACGCTCGCTACTGAAGATCAGATGGCCAGAAAGAATAAGCAACAAGGAACTCTGGGAACGAACCAACCAAGAACCTGTCATGCAACAAATATGCAGAAGGAAGTGGAGATGGATTGGGCATACACTGAGAAGGCCGACTGGCACATCACGCGTTAGGCCAGTTGCTCAAGTGGAACCTCGGTGAGAAGCGACGAGTTGGGCGTCTAAGTCAAGGGTGACATGGAGGAGATCGTGCGAGGAGGAAATGAGAGCTTCTGGGCTGTCGTAGAGCCAGGTTCAAAAGCTTTCAGAGAACAGAGTTCACTTTAGAAGCGCTAATGAAGCCCTATGTTCCGTTAGGAACTCAAGGGATTAATAAATAAAAAAATAATATAAGACTTCAGCTATCCTAGCGAAAATCGATGGGCCTATATACATATTTATACTGGGCTGCCGACCCGCTGCTCTACCATCTCAGCTACGACGTTCTACTGCTCACCAGATTTTTATTTCACTTCAGTCACGACTATCATATGAATTCGCGACGCATTAATATCGACTGATCGTACTTACACTGGATGCCTGGTCAGGACTTGTCACCTCAATCCATATCTAACTGAATTAGAATGAGAGGAGGAGTATCATATTGATTAATAGTGAAATAAAAAACTGGTCAATGATCAGACCTCGCAGCTGAGTTGGTAGAGAATCGGGCGGAAACCCAATGGTCGCTGGTTGGAATTGGACCGCGACGTAAATTTTAATTTCCTCTTCAATCATCAGCCAGTATCAATAAAACTAGTCTGCCAAACTACGACTGCTATCTCAGATAGTCAAATGATGAATATATACATGTGTCACTTAGCTATAAGCAAATGTAGCGGGAACGACATATAGCTACATTTACTTGTGGACAAAATGAACAATTTTGAAGACATTTCCATACTTCAACAGTCCAGTATTAACAAGCACAGGCTGTTCAGAATTCATTAAGTTGTATTGTTTATTCACAAGTACTTCATTGGAGAAAATTAAAACTGTAACGACAACTACTTACAAGAATGCTTATGAGTAGTATGTAGTTATAACAACGATGAAAAAGGCAACGACTGACTGATAAATAACGAGACAAAAGGAATACACAATTATGGATGTAAATATGAAGGGCGAAAAGGATGAGAAATGAGATGAAGAACAAGGAATTACTCACATTTTCTAGCAATTCAGAAACTGCCAGTAACTGGGATGATACCATGTGACTTGACTGATAGAAGGGGTCACTATTCCATTCAAATGGTATATCAAATGAGTAATTGTAGTCAATATCCTTATTTAATGTGACATTTTTAATCTTGGGTATCACATTTAGCTCAAATGATAACATACTGGATAACTGGCATTACACAGTAGACATAATTCTTTCTAACTTGATTATTACATTCGTATAAAATTATTTCTCTGTTTGATTGAACCAAGCACGAACCTATGGCTCAAGCTATATGCAGAAGAAGGAAATGGAGATGGATTGGATTTGGCATACATTGAGAAGGCCAATTCGGGAGATCATGCGTCAGGCCAGTTACTCGAGTGGAACCCCGATAGAAAGCGACGAGTTGGGCGTCCGAGAATGACATGGTGGAAATCGTGCGAGGAAGAAATCAGAGGTTGTGGGCTATCCTGGAACCAGATTCAAAACATTTCAGAGAAGGGAGTGGAATTGAGACGTGCTACTGAATCCCTATGTTCTACTAAAAACCCAAGGGACAAATAAATAATAATAATCTATTTTTGAGATGAATGGGGATTTTTAATTTAGAAGTAGTATTCATCATGGACTGCTGAGGAGTCCCATACTAGGACGAAACAGATGTCCAGTGCTCCCAGATTTTGAATGGTTACCCAACTGATGTCAGTCCATTATGAATACTACTTCTAAATAATAATAATCATTCTAAGGTTGAGAAGAATCCAGATAAACACCATTAATCCCAAGCAAACACTTTCACCCTACGCAGACAGGAGCAACACTAGTCGTCAAACAGCAAGTGAAACTCATTGCCTGATGCACAAATATGCACAAGGTGGAAGACAGCGTTTTGTCTCGTTCATAGATCTGACTCCTATCTCTCCAAACAATGCTCATCATTGTTGTTCTCATTAGAACTACCCCACTTAACGGAGTCCATTCATGAAAACATTCATCTAACAATGATCAATTCTCACAAATTACCCACTACTTTACTGTTTGTTATCAGTTATGTGAGTGTTTCTGTAATCCTACTCAAACACCCAGTTGCCACTACTAAAGACGGTGTATACGTAATCAATCAGCAACGGCAAACAACCACTTTTTCAGACAATAACCATCTTTCAGATGAATTGAACCGACTAATCAATGTAGAGGATCCTTCTTTGGTTCACAAGACTCAACCAAGACAACCTTCATCACATCAGTCTAACCAACATGTCACTTCCAATTCTTATGATGCAACATCATATGACTTAACAGGTGACTTGTGATTTCTACTTTTCTCATTGAAACCTGTCACTCCTTTTTAACTTTCGATATCATCATTTTGAGGTTGAAAAGAATCCAGACAAACACCAATAATCTTGTTCAAAATATTTTCTCGATTTCATCTTCGTCAACACTGAACAGTTCAATAGTGATATAAGCTTTTACACAAGAATATTTAACTGAACATGATTTTCGTATCCATTTCTCACAATCTTTTCACAAACAATCACTGATAGCTTGTGATATTGATCAGTATATATTTTGTTTTATCAAATTACTCAATGATGATGTACACAGATTGAAGTGATTGACCTTGACATTTGGTTATATTATTCACATATTTGTTTTAATTTTCATGTTGATGACAATTGACATTGAAAATATTAACGGATATTTGGATACTGTCAGAAATCAAACTGATATTTCCTTGAAGATTTTCCTTTCTGAAGAGATGAATATAACACTTTGAGTGAATGATTGACTGAATGTCTCATTTCCACACTTGTTAGTTGAACTGAGATTATGAAATGAATTTAAGTGATGTATAATACTGCAGAATGATTACCATATTGGTTAATTGTAAATGATTGTTGTAGATGATTTACTATTTCGGTCAACTACTTAAGCTGGTGTAAGTATCTGTGACCTGCATCACTTTACTTTACATTAAGGAAGTTGGGCGATATTACAAGTATACTGGTTTACACACGAATCTCTGAGTGAGTTACATACTACGTGTGAGTGCATTATTCTATACCACCTGAACCAATTAGGCGAAATCAGGTAGTGTTGGTGTGTACGCGCTATCTACGGGATGATGATTCACCTGAGCTCCAACTTCATGTAATTGGCATTCATGTTATATTGCCTAATTCTAGTTACACATATGAATAAATAACTGTAGTAACGCAGTCATCATTGAAGGAATTGTAAATGTTGTTGATATTGGTAAATTTTGTGCAATCGAGAAACAGTATAAGAAGTTTATCTGGTGCATACATAGTGAGTGGCAATTGTGACTCGGTGACCTCGTAGATAACACTTTTGAGTTTGAGGTGATTGCTGTCAGATTGGAATCACTGGGAACAACATAATTCACTGAGTGGCAAGAACCTCGATCTGAGGACTCGTAAACTGGGAAGAACGCTCATCTCAGATTCCACTGCAAGGCACTATGCATCAATATTATGTGGTCATTGTATTTGTTAAGCAAGCAGACAAAATAATAATGTGCTTGTAGTTTAGTGGGATGTTGATGCAACAATTATAGAACTTGTTGAGGTTTAGGAGCAAGGATATAAAGGGACCATCATTATTATTATTGTTTGTCTTTTGTGTTCGTGGTGTAGCGTAGGGTTTTAGTAGCACGTTGACATTCCGCTGTGTTTTCTGTAGTCTTTTTAATCTGGGTCGGCTACTGCTCACAAGCTTTCTTTTCTTCGTCTCACCATCTCCTCAACTGTGCTTGTTCTGCTTCACCATCTTCCTCTCCCTCCTCTATCAGCTTCTGTATGGAGGTCCATCGAGATTCATTCCTTTTCTCCTTTCTTCTTCCTTCCTAATGCAGCTATGCAGTTTTCTTCCACATCTCTTTCAACGGATTCTAGTGTTCTTCCAAGCAGATTTCTTCACAGATGTTGCTTAATATCTGCATTTTGTCCTCATGACTGACCACATAGTGAATTCCTTTCTAGTTTCTCCCTTCAGTTTTTGTTCTGGGGGTTGAACTTGTGCAGTGGTCCATCATCACCCACTACTTTGAAGGCTTTCTACTTGATTATGAATGTTGGTTCCTTGCCCTACATTCTGAGTGGTCTGAACCCACATCTGCTCCCCTTCTTGTTCTTGTTTCCAGTGGGCTATGTCTCCACTGCCTTCACATTGAGATGAAGTCGATCTGATTTTTAGAGTAGTTTGTCCCAGTGTCTGTTGAAATCCATGTCACATTGTGAATATCCTTCTACTTGTACACACTGCCTTCAGTTCCGAATCGTTAAATGCGCACAAATCTGCCAACAGTTCTCCATTCTCATTCATTTCACTGAGTATATCTGGACGTATGATTGGTTCTCTTTCTCTGTTGTCTGCTCGCAATTTGGCATTCATGTCATCCTACTCGTTAGAATTTTGATGTGGCTATCTGGAATGGGGTCTTGTCCATTACTGATTGTTGTTTTCTATAGAATTCCTCCTTCTTCTCTTGGTTTGCATTATGTGTAGGTGAGTAGTATTGTATGACTGTAACCTTCTTCCCTTTTGATTTGATCTGCTTTTGAAAATTCCTAGCACTTATATGCCATATCTTCTCATTTCGCTTACAGTGTAGACAGCCTTGCTAGCCATCTTCAAAAATTGAGGAGACATTCCACGTCCCCATGCTTTCTTTTGCTTTTGTCGAGAGAAGAGAAGACACATATGTCAGTTGGCTTCCTGAAGGCTTTCACCACCCGGCGTTATTTCGTCTCTCCGGTTTCAGAGAGGAATAAGTTTGTTTTTTTACGTTTGTTTCATGCTTTGAAGTTACTTTAGTGATTGGATTAGTTTTCCGGGGGTAGTGTTGCTAGCCTTATGTCTAACCTTTCCTTTTATCCGCGCTTAGGACTGGCTTGTAACTAAAGAACTAGTTAACTGGGCGAGATTTATGTCAAAGGATATTATCAAGAAACTTTGGGTCTCATATTTACACCAGTTGGTAATCATCAGGGCATATCTAGAAACTGAAAGTGACTGATGTTCTCTTTATGTTGGATTTATGTCACAATACTAAGGCACTCATATATTTAATTAATAATTCATATTCTTTATGGAACTGTCTTAGATAACTATGGTTTGACAGACTGATATCTCTGGTTCGATGTGACGATTGAAATTGTGTTTGCGATTAACCGACAGTTATACATCACTCAGTCACACGACAGATAGTTGAATATTCACAAATGCTTCAGTGAATATCAAATCAGCAGACGATTTTCCTACCTTAGATAATGAATGAAGTACTGGAATGGTAATTTGAAGTTTATTAATCCGATTCTTGCCAATACTTTATCTTTTTTTGCTTCAGGATGGTATCCATCATTAGATGACATCAGTTGGGGAACCACTGAAAGTCTGAGGGTGCTGGACAACTGCTTCTTCTAGTACGTACCTGCTAACCCTCCAAAGATCTAACCTAGGACATTTATGTCTCATGTCAAACCTCTTACTATTGAGTCTGTGATTCCACAAGTTTTCCTACTTCTGCCAATTTGTGATATAACACGGCTATCATCGAATGATATCACTGGGTATTTGTTTTCAAGACTAATGCAGTCAGTCTGATGGGTGACGACTTTTCATTCGAGCTTCTGGTGGTCGTCTGGAAGCGCTTCACCACCAGCCACGATCCATCACCAATATAATTAGAACACAGGCAATATCCAGGCATCCTCATTGGAGCCCATATGCGAATAGAGACCGGTCAAGTCGGTTCAATAAATGACCGTGTCATATAAGCAATAACACTGAAACTATAGCCGTCGCACAAGAAGTGGCTATCGTGGCTCGACGGTGTAGTGGATAACGCGCTGGCGTTTGAAGTGATCGCTTCCGAGTCCGAATCCTGGTGGGAACAACATCAATTCGCACTGGGTTGCAGGTACATCCAGGTGACAAGTGCGAAATGGGACGAAATGCACATCGTAGATTCCACTGCTAGCCACGTTCCATCGTTAAGATAAATAGAACCCAGGCGTTATCGACGCATCCGCACAGGAGCCCATATGCCAATAGAGACCCATCAAGTCGGTCCAACCAATGACGGTATGATATAAAAAACATTTATACTAGATAATAGTTTAGTTTTATCGATATGAACTTCCGACTAAATCCTTCTCAAACAGAAGTTATTTTTTAAAAATTTATCCGCTATACACATCACTTGTGCTCTAGAGAACAACATCGTAACCGGCATGCATTTTATAAATGACGTTGAAAGAAATTACTAAAGCTAAGAATGAAGCGGTTTCATGTAGATTTGTGATAAACAACCTCTGAAGTGTCTTACATTGCATTCTGATATTCGTAAAAATCAAAATTGGTGCTTTTATGTGCTTCATCTCATAGAAACTTTGTGTCATTCATCTTGACTTGAAGAATAGTGACTTTATAGAAAATAGTTAGCCTTCGGCTTATTGCGATATCATTTGAATGCGAGACCTTTGGATATGTTGCGTCCTCTGAGCACGGGTTGTGTAGTCGTGGAGCTTCAACCATCTTTCTGGACGACATCATCAGCAGTAACTTCAATATAAAGTGAGTTGTCAATATCTCCCCATCAGTGATTCACTAGCTGGTCATGATGAACCGGTCTGTGATTACTTGTTCCCTTCGATTGTTGAGTCATTGACTGACTGCATACAGGTTCCTGTTGCTTATTCCTCTGCTTCACCTCAAACCTTTCTATCGTTCATCATTTTTTTTACCGACTGATAGATTGGGTCTATGTCTATACATTTGTTGATTGCTGACTGACTGACTGGCTGATGTGAATGCCAAGCTTCTAGGAATTCTCTAGTCTACTCTATGTTTCCTCTCTTCCTCTAACATTTCTACATTGTCAAAAGTGAATTCGTGTGTAACGATGTTATCCACGTGGATTGAAGTGATCAGCGATGAAATGTTGTGACATTGAATAGCCAATTGGTATTCATGTAAGTGATCGAGATGAAGAGGGTGACCACTTTGCCCAATGAATGTGGTATTGACTACAATTATTGCAGTTGAGTTTATGAATGATATTCGGTTTATCTTATCTGTTTGTTGCATCCTTTGGTTTGCATAAAAGTGTTTGGAGGGAATTTGTTGGTTTATGAGCCACACCAATTACAAGTGGTCTCAGCAATCGTATCGTGATTTCTGATATATCTTTTGTGTACGGTAGAATGATGCGTTTATTGATTTCTATCGATGACTTTATAGTTCATGCTGTACAGGATAGGCATCTTCTGATGAAGTTTCATGGGTA